ACCTTGTGATGGCTCTTTGGATACCGCATAATTCAATTTCACATCATTGACTACATTCTTACTGTCTTCGTTTCTAATTAATCAAATAAATAAAAACATCAAGAGAAAACAGACGCGTATCTAATGTATAATAAAACTACAAGTTATTCATCTTCTTCAATGAGGATATTCTCCTCTACAGGAATATTCCGATATCTTTGCGATGATCGCCTGCACTTCAATAGTGAGCATTGAGCACATATTATTATTGTCATATCCTACGCACAGAATAACAGATATTATTTTAACCGCGCGAAAATGGAAATTCAATGTCAACAGTGTGCCTATCATTTCACTTACCCTGACGAAGTACCAGGCTTCTTTCCAGAAACCGGAATTGGGTATTTGTGAAACTCCGGAAGCATGATGCACCATACGATTATAAAAAATCCCACCTACGAAATAAACGAGTAGCGCAATGAGGAATCTAAAATATAAAAAAAAATGTGTTAGCTGACCGATTAATTCGAGCCATTTATGCAGCAACTTAGAATTCAATCACACAAAACCCATCCTGTCATGGTTACCAAATGCTCGATGCTGTCATTCACCATCTTATGTGTTTCACTTCTTCTCTATTTTCGACTCCTGTTCGATGCCCCTCCCTTCCAAATACAGAAACTTACATGATAAAGAATAACCCTACACCTGTTATGCCTTCTTGATTTTTCGGCACAGGACATGCCACTGGCGTTCGCCATTCGAAGACATATACACATTGATTTAAGTCCGTTACGAATACAGGTGCGTTAGACTCGTCGACTGATCTATCGCAGCTGAAGAATATTATACTGGTGCGACGGGAACCAGAGATACATGGATCTCCATTTTTATAAGTCAGTATCGCCTTATTATTACGATATTCTAGTTTGTCAGAATATCTCCTTTCGACAGAGTCGTTGAAAAGAATAGAAATAAAGGTACAATTAAGTAAGCTTTGGCGTTATGTCTTTGTTTAGGGCATGCCACCACCCCATTATAATATTCACCCTAAACCATAAATCTCTTTATATTCTTTGACGTATGCTCCCATTCCTGTCAGTTCTTTTTGTTGATTGATGGTATTACACACGTTTAATTTGTATTGAACTTCACTGTTGTCGTTCGTAACTTCCCAGTCATCTCTACACAAACGTTTAACAAGAAACTTGAGAATGTTTTGCATTCAGATCAACAAATCAACCCATATTAATATTTTTACCCTGAATCTCTTCGTAATTTGCGTAGGTCGATAATATTTCCGGTATTCTCTATGGCTATCGTGCAGGTGGGTTCAGGTTCATCATCTGCTAGAACCAGCTGTAGAGAGCATATTATGAGGAAGATGGCAAGAAGTTGAACGCAACGCAGCATATTAAGAGTTTAGATAGTAAAAAGCATCCGGAACGCATTGAAATAATACCGCGTGAGCACGTGAATTGTACAACCAAAGAAAAAAGTAGATTTGATTACATCGATATCAATAACGATCCACACATCTTCCTCCTTTAATATCGTTCAACATTCAACATGGTTAATCTCGCAATCGTCGGTCCTGGTCTTGCAATTACTTGCACTGGTTTGAGCTTTGCTGGAGTTATATTCCTTGTAAGTCGTATAATTTATGTATACGCGTTGATAGTAATATTGTTATTGACCTATTCTTGTATTGCATTAAAAAACTACACAGCTTGTTCTCGGTGCATTATTCAAAGCAGAGGTCGAAGGCTTGACCGAGTCGACAACGGATCCCGATGACCCTCAGGCTGTTGCTTGGGCATGTTTTATGGCTGCCGGAATATATGCGGGACTTCTCCTGTGCTGTGGATGTCAAGTAAGATTTTACTTTATAGCATATATGACTGCACTAGTTATAATAGAAGATGCTATAGGATGTGACAAGCAAAGGAAAAGAGAGGGTATTCTGCTGAGAGAAAAAGACGTTAATTTGAAACTAAAATATTGGTTTCTTTGTTAAAAAGGTGTTTGCGAATAGGCGACAGCGAAGAAATGAAATTAGAATATAACTACATCAGCGGTCAATTAATACGCCTCGCGTGTTGGGGAAGGTTTATTCAGTACCTTAATCAAATGTTAATACTTTTAATGACTCGAAAATTGGTTAATTGGAATTATCACAATTATCGGAAGCTTGACGATCAAAAGGAAAACCAGTAAAGCAAATTCACATTCTTAAAACTGGTCTAGAATAATTGACTTCTAAATTACGATCAACAATTAAGAACCAACCGTTCTTATTATCGTAGCGCTATCTGAAAGGGAATACTATCGAGCGAATTGCGTACGACCCAAGTTATGTGCCAACCTATTCGTACATATAGTCCCTAGCTTGTTATTTAATCCGACGACGTCTGCATTGTTACTTTTATTCCGACACCGCAAAGTGATGTTTGGTCAGTATTAGCTTTTGTTGAAGATCATCCGTCGTCTTTCTATTACACAACGGGCGAAAGCATCATGAATCTCTTACCTCATTAACATTGTAAGTCTATTCTAAGTTTCAGGGACTGACTGTCTCGAATAAACGTTTCAAACTTGATAGTAATAGCATTGGTTTTACTAAAAATCGACATACAATAAACAATTTATCATGTGACATAAACGAGAGGCTGATGTGGCTAAAAACTCAAATTTAGCTATTGACATATTGACAGCTGTTGTTACATTCGGTCACTTGGGAGAGCGTTCCAAATTTGACCGAGGAATATTTTCAAATTTAGCTCTAAACGTGACGCGCTTGCGTCAATTAAGGCGTAGCTAAAATTTGCAGGCGGCTCTTTAAAATACCTCCTATTGCCAAGATATATTCTCACTCAAATGCTGTGCTAAACTATCTAGTTCAATAATAAAATATATTGCACCGATAATCGAACTATTCTTTCCTGTCCGGTCTGATACTCCAGTGCCCGCTTAACTACAGCTAGATATTAATCTAATTTCCATAAGCTGGCCTATCGGCTTAATTTAGCCTCATAAGTAATAGAAACTTCCGTTCAGCAACAATTTTTAGTCGAAGAGCGTATTAATTATAAAAGTTCGACACGTCTAATTAAGAAATTTCTTATACTCGTTCTCAGCCGCTCCTAGTAAATGCAATCGTAGACGATAAATTTTAATTAATTTCACTATCGATCGTAGTATATAAACAGCCTTGGTATATATTTGCTCCATTCAGAATTCAATGGAATAGAGTAATGGAGCTTGTACTCCATTGACTCCATTGGCTCTATTGACTCAATTGTGGCACAGTAATTTTGTTGGCAATGGAGCGAATGGAAAAGTTGCCTTTTTAGGATAACCAAATAATAATGGCCAATAAATGTCAAAGCGTCATCTCATCTCATCTCATCTCATCTCATCTCACGTTTTAATATCACGTGTTTTATTTTGTGAATGGAGGGCTTACCATTAGAGCAATGGAGCATTGGACTGGAGCAATGTTCCAGTAGGTCATTGGAGTACAATGTGTCAAGGCT